AAAAAATCATTGCACAACCGCCATATTTCTTATGACTCTGTCTCATTTGACCCGGATTTCGACTGAGTTGCACTCTTAGTTTGATGTTTAATTGCGTTTTTAAAGCATTCCTCCTATTTAGATCTTCATACTTTCATAGTAAATTTCCTGAGGTTCGAGTGGCTTGTTTAGAAAACCGTCATTTTGGCATCGTTACGCTAATAGAACAGCATTAAAGTTGCGTATTAATTTCTATAAGTTGGAGGACTCACCGATAAGAAGCTGGATAGGCTAAAATCATGATTAATCCTCAATGTACCAATGGATTAAACGTGTATCACTCAAAGTTCACTTGGTCGAATTCACGCACCCGATCTGTTCACTTCGGTTCGGTAATCTCAAAAAGTCGCCCGTTGGCGCTGCGCCCGTTTATATCGCCTTCGCTAACAATCTGATAAACTTTATAATAAATGAGACGGAATTAGTGAAAAAAACCCGTACTGCACGTGATCCACTTGCTCTAACGATCTTGGGGATTAATTTTTATTGTTATACGAAACGTATTAATCACATGACTGGCCACATGATGTGATTCGCACTTTCTTTCTGATAACAAGTTCGACTAGCATGAGCGTAATGAAACAAACTCTGATTAAGTTCCACTTAATAACGAGTGGATTTTTACAGGGTGAATGAGCTTTAGGCATCATTTTCCCGGGGTTCAAACGTTGCTTTCGGCCAATTGAAAGCCAATAAGTAAGGTAAGAGTTTTGCAAAAGTCGGAAAATTCCATGCGCAAACAACCCCAGGCTTAGCAAAGAAAATAGTGTTATCGCTAATCATTTTTTGTTTCTAAACGAGCCGCTGTAAAATTATCACGCACGCAAATACTGATACAGGATGGAATGGAATGTTTTATTGCTAGAAATTTGGGTTTAGGTGCGATGGTGGATCAAGCTGTTTTATTGTTGATGGCCAATTGTTAATTTCCCACGGTATTTTTCCAAAGCCATCATTGATTTCAGGCTTTTTTCAATTTTAATTGAGTCCCTAGATTCAATTAAATTAATTAGTTAGTTACAGTATATTTGTGTTCAAGGCCAAGTCAACAGATTGATTGAGTTTATTTGAGATTTGAGAACGATCTAGTCCTTGTTGAAGGCTCAGAGACGCTGTACAGACATTTTAGCTCCAAAGCTCAAAGTTTCTACTGGTAGGAAAACGCGATCTGTTGCTCTGATCTGCTTTTGAGATTTAACAAAAACGGCGGCATTTTGCCCAAAAAACACTTTCATCAAACTTGTACTTTTTTGAGAAAAACCAACATTTCCAAAGCTTTTGCTCCTAAAAGCGTCAATTAGTGGTGCAGAAACGAGCGCTCCAATCTGTTCTGGAGAATTGAGCAAAAAAGTGCCGCAAAACATGACATTTTGGGCTAATCTTGTGCCTAATTGTGTGATTTTTGTCGTCAGCGTCAGATTTGAGTCGATTTTGCAATTAACAAACGAGCAAAAAAACCACTTTTTCAAACGTAGACTTTTTTGAGAAAAATTTCTCTGGCAATGCTTTGGCGACAGCTAGGAAATAAGGCAAGAAGGTGGCCGAAAGACATGAAATGTTGGCCTAATTTTGCAGCTAAAGGCTTGACATTGAATTTCATTTCATCTCTTTTATCAGTCGTTTATTGTATTATTATTTTTATTGTTAGATTTTTTAAAATATTTTTCATGGCCACCACAAACTGATTCAACTCATTCCCGTCCTTAATCATAGTCGTTCAGCTAATTCATAGGAGATTAACTCCGTCTTGACGACATTTGATATGTTTCCGCTCGCTTGCTATTGTTATTCGGCTGATTGCTGCTTTTTATGTTTACATACAATTACAACGGATTAATTGTCTAGTATGGCAATAAACCAGTTTCACAATATTTCAACTTTGACCAGACTTGAGCCCGATTGTCCATCTTCAATGCAGGGGCGAATCTAGCTTTAAAGTCCGGGGGGTCTTCTGTTATCTATGAAATTAGAAAAATGATCGTTGTTTTGTGCAAGGGTGGCGCAAGATTATTGCAAAATTTCATGTTTTCCGTGCCGTTTTGCATGTTTCTCGGAAGCAAAATGAGCAAGAACGCTCG